TATTACAGCTTAATTTTAACTGAACCCTTCGGGTCGAACCCAATCGAATCTCCGATCCGAGACGTCGAATTAATCCGAAAGGATTTAATGAGTCGATAGATTTTACGAATACAGACGTCGGAAATCGAGCCTAGGGCGTCGATACCGATCGTCGCAAAATCACAATCGACAAGTATGAGCGTAGCCATAGCTAGGCTAGGCTAGCTCATTGCAAACCTAGGTGCAACATGTGTGTGCTAGGCGCACCATGGTGTGCTAGGCACCATCGCAGCCTAGGCGCACTCTAGCAGCCCATCGCAAGCTAGCATGGGTGCCTAGGTGCGCATAGCAACCATCGCAGGCCACACAGGCACCAGGCAGCCCATAGCAGCTAGCAAGCGTGCTAGCGTGGTGCCTGGGTGCATGTGGCGCCTATCGCAGGCAATGGCAGCACCAGGCGCACCGTGGCAAGCACTAGGTGCTGCGTGCGTGCGTGCCTGGCCTGGCAGCACCATCGCAAGCACCAAGTGCTTGCTTGGTTGGCTGCCTGGCAATGGCGCGCCATGTGCGCGTGCTTGAGTGCTAGCCTTCGCATGGCAGCACTAAGCATCGCAGCACATGCAAGGGGCTGCGCGCCAGCTCGATGCTGGGCCTGGCACTCGCAGCCTCGCACAAGAAGCCTCGCACCACAGCGTATTGATGCGTGTAGGCTGGCAGTGCGTGGTGCGTGGCGCATGGCTGGTGCGTGTGCGTGCAATGCCTGGCTAGGTGCTAGGCAGCAGCGCCACGCATGCAAGTGCGTGTGCGTGTGTGCATGCCTCGCATCAAGCACAAGCAGTGCTAGGCACTGGCTAGTGCTAGCGTAGGCATCGAGCCAGTGCGTGTTTGCAATGGGGTATGCGAATGGTGCGAGGGACAGTGCGGCCAGCATGCGTGGCTCGCTAGCAGCACGCATGCTGGCTGTGGTAGCAATGAGGCGCGAACAATGTGCGAGTGTGTGCGTGGGGCTGCTGGGGGCTAGTGCCAGCACTAGGTGCTAGCAGCGCCCAGCGCCAGCACGTAGCACCAGCACAGCCCAGCACCAGCGTGCACTGGCTGGCTGGCTGGGTGCTAGACAGCAAGGCACGCTAGCTGGCAGCCCTAGCTGGCACACTAGCTGGCAGCCAGCTAGCACACCTTGACCCGGTTTTGGGCATGGTGTGTGGGGACCAATTCATGGCCTTGGGGATCAAGGCAATGGTCCCCCCAAGCCTTGGTCCTCACTTGGCTTTCTCTATAATTGTGCCAAGTGTCGATTTGTGATTGAGTTGATTAATTATTTAATTTTGGAATTAAATAATTGTCATTTTACCGATTGGAAATCAAGGGATCATTTTCCTATAAATACCAAGCTTGGTATTAGGATTTGAAAATAACCTTGAGTGTAATTAGAAAGGCAACTCTAGAAAAGAGTAAACCTTTTATTCATAAAACTCATAGTTAATTTTGTCCGGGTCTTGACTAACCTTCAAGACTTAGGACGCTCGGGTCGGGTTGAGGGTACGATCCGTCGGAGATCTCGTCTTTTCAGGATTTTGAAGTAAGAGCTCTTTAGGAGCGAAGCACGCGTCAAAGGTATAATTCTTGTCCTTAATCTTGTTTGATTAAGTTTATTATGCTTGTTTAATTGCTTTAATTAAGGGGCGGGTCTTGGTGGGTTTCCTTCCGCATAGTGTCGGGTCACTACGAAATCCTACAGTTTTGCTATAGATATTTCATTGGTGGACTACATATTGTGAAGCCCATTTGGATGTTGGATTGTGTGGCAGGTGGGAAATTGTTGAGTTGTGAGTCATTATTTGCTCATCCTAACTAATTATCACAGTATAGAGTGCTTTTTTTTGTTGCTGATATTTTTCTAATTAAAAACTGAAATAATTTGCTTATTTATTTGTTACTCCTTTTGGCTCTCAAATAGTATCAATAGAGTAGCTACAACTTTAAGGCTTAATTCACAATCTAAGGTTTATCGAAATTTAATTTGTAGTTTAATTCATGTGAGTATTTATTAAGTTTCACTCTTTTTTTAACTGAGTTTGAGAAAGTTCCGATTTTAGTACGATATTCACCATTCAAATTAAGGTACAAACCAATTACCCACAAAAAAATCTAAGTTAATTGCATGTTGTGTTTAGATGGTTTAATTGTGATTTTAGGCTGCGGGATCAGTAGTGAGTCAATACCGGCTTTAGTTGTTAGTTTTCATGATGGGTTTTAGGATATTGTTTTGGAGTTTTCAGTTGATTAGTTGTTGAGGATACTATTAGTCTTGTTGGTGGAATTGTTATTGTTGTTGGCTGTTGTTAATTCACAGTTGTTGTTACTAGTTAATACTTGAATTGTTGCCCTTACTGTGTGAAGATGTTGTCCTGTAGCTTCTGTTATGTTTGTCCCAAAAAATTCAACCGACAATCATATTTTTGATGATATTTTGTAGAATCCTTAGGAAAGGCTTTCTGCTACTTATGCTTTTGGTAAGTGTAATTATAAGATTATTTATTATCTAAAACAAGGATTTTAAGATAAAAGAATGAATATATGAAAGAGGTAAATGACTTTTGCATTAGGTTTGCATCATGGGCGTGGGATTGAGTGAAATCTATCAAAATCTGTATGGATTAATTTTTACTCCTAATCTTTTACCTTTTGATTTATTATTTTTTGTAGTGATACTGGTATTAACTTTAAGATATGGGTAATCATTGTAAGAGTAATGGTACTAATAAGGTCAATCACATGCTTTGCTATTAAAGGAAGAATGTAGAGGAAAGATCAAAACCGTCATAATGAAAGAACAACAATGGCATCAGGCTATTCGGCGAATGCAGATGCAGCCGCAATGATGAGGACGGAGGACAAGATGGAAAGAAAGTGAAGAGCGCGCAACAAGAAGTCATGATCAAGGGAAGAGTGGGAGTTTGGTGTTTTGTGCGGGTGGAACTAAGTTATTTTCCTTGGAACTAAATGATAAGAGGTTCAGCTGAATTGTTAAGAAGAGGGACTATTGGTACTACATATAAAGTAGTACTTGATAATCTTTTAGTTTGTATTATTATATTGAAAAAAAAAAATTGTAATAATGGATTTTTATTAAAGAAAATATGAAATCATATCAATTTAAATTATTGTCTGTCGTATATGTTATTTCTCATTTGTGATTGTTGTACTGGTTAATATTATTTTAATATATTTAAAAAAATAATAAAGTTGCATGTTTTAAAAAATAATAATAATAATTACTTATTAATTAACAAGGTGTTACATTAGTTTGCAAAAAGTGATACATGATGTCGAGTATAGTGATACTATATGTCTAAAGATGATTGAAAAATGTTACTTGATAATCAACAAGGAGTTACATTAGTTTCGCAAAAGTGATACAAGATGTCTGATATAGTGTTACTGTATGATTAAAAAATGTTACTAGAGATAAGTAAGTGTTACATAAGAAATAAAAAGTAACACTTTAAAAATAATACTAAAATTATAAAAAAGTGATACATAAGAGGGTTTACAGTAACACTTTTAAAAGTGTTAACATGGGTGGATGTATCACCCACTAAAGTGTTACCTATTGTCTATAATAACACTTTTACCACTTTATGTAATACTTTTTAGGTGGTACTTAAGGTCAATTATGTACTAGTGTTTAACGTCACTAGCTTGACAACATTGCGGGATCAACGTTAGTAAGAACATCAAACTCATCAAGGTGAACAACCTTGGCCTCTTCATTCACAAAACCGTCAAAGTATGCCTTTGGCCATTCACTTTGAACGATTCACCATTGTCATTGGAGATTCCAATTGCACCATATGGGAACACCTTCTTGACGGTAAAAGGTCCACTCCATCTTTTTTTTAGCTTACCCGGAAATAACTTCAACCGGGAATTGAATAGTAAGACCTTGTCGCCTTCCTTGAACTCCCTTTTGTTGATATGCTTGTCATGCCAAGTCTTGGTCTTTTCCTTGTAGATCCGTGCACTCTCATATGCATCCAATCTTAGTTCTTCCAAGGCATGGAGGTCAAGCAACCTCTTTTCACCGGCACTTTGAAGGTCAAAGTTCAAAGTTTTAATAGCCCAATGAGCACGATGCTCAAGTTCTACTGGCAAATTCCATAATTTCCTATATACAAGCTTGTAAGGTGTGGTGCCAATGGGAGTCTTGAATGCGGTGCGGTAGGCCCATAGAGAATCATCTAGTTTCGTAGACCAATCCTTTCTAGACCTATCTACTGTCATTTCTAAGATCATCTTTATCTCCCGATTTGAAATCTCGGCTTGACCACTTGTTTGTGGGTGGTAAGCCAATGACACCTTGTGCCTCACACCAAACTTTTCAAGGAGAGCTTGGAAGGATCACTTTGCAAAATACGAACCTCCATCACTAATGACGACACGTGGCACCCCGCACCTTAGAAAAATGACCTTCTTGAAGAGCTTGACCACCACCTTAGCATCATTAGTAGGAGATGCAACTGCTTCTACCCACTTTGACACGTAATCGACGGCCACAAGAATGAATTTATTACTAAAAGAGGTCGGGAAAGGCCCCATAAAATCTATGCCCCATACGTCGAAAATCTCAAACTCAAGAATGCTGTTCAAGGGTACTTCACTTCTTCTTGAAATATTGCCGGTTCTTTGGCACCGGTCACAAGCTTTCACTACACCCCACACATCCTTGAACATTGTAGGCCAATAGAAACCACATTGCAAGATTTTCGCCAAGGTTTTGTTAGCACTCATATGCCCTCCACAAGGTGAGGAGTGACACATTATGATAACATCTTCAATCTCATCATTCGGGACACACCTTCGAAAAAGGCCATCAACACCTTGTTAAAGAGCAAGGAGTTGTCCTTAAAGTATTGGCGAACATCATGAAGAAACTTCCTTTTTTGTTGACAGGCGAGGTCGGGAGGAAGAATAGAGCAAGACAAGTAGTTTGCAATGTCCGCAAACCATGGTGCCGGTGCTTAAAGGATAGCAAATAGTTGATTACCCGGAAATGACTCATCAATTAGCAAGTTATCAAGATCACCTACGAAGATAGGCAACCGTGAAAGATGATCGGCCACACCATTTTCGGCATCCTTTTTGTCTCTAATATCAATATCATAATCTTGCAAGAGCAAGACCCACCGTATCAATCTTGGCTTAGGTTCCTTCTTGGACAAGAGGTACTTCAACGCCGAATGGTCGGTGAATACTATGACCTTAGAGCCCAACAAGTATGACCTAAACTTCTCAATTGCATGAACAATGGCTAGAAACTCCTTTTCCGTGGTTGTGTAATTTCTTTGTGCCTCATCCAATGTTTTGCTAGTATAATAAATAGCATGGAGCTTCTTGTCCTTCCTTTGTCCAAGAACGGACCCAACGGCAAAATCCGAAGCATCACACATGAGCTCGAAAGGATTTGGGAGTGGAATGATAGGTGCCGAAATCAAGGCCTCCTTCAACCTATCAAATGCTAGCAATTAATCATCAATAAACATAGAAGGGGCATCATTTACCAACAATTGAGTGAGCGGCTTTGTGATTTTTGAAAAATCCTTTATGAACCGGCGGTAAAAACCCGCATGTCCAAGAAAGCTCTTTATCCCCTTCACATTTGTAGGGGGTGGGAGGCGCTCAATTACCTCGATCTTGGCACGATCTACTTCAACGCCCCTACTAGAAATCACATGACCAAGAACAATGCCCTCCTCTACCATGAAATGACATTTTCCCCAATTCAAAATTAAGTTCACCTGTTGATATCTTTTGAACACTTTAATCAAATTCAAAAGACAAGTGTCAAAAGATGAACCAAAAACAGAAAATTCATCCATAAATACCTCAACTGATGATTCAAGCATGTCGGAAAAGATAGACATCATACACCTTTGAAATATGGAAGGTGCATTACAAAGTTCAAATGGCATCATTTGATATGCAAAGGTGCCAAATGGACATGTGAATGTAGTCTTTTCTTGGTCATCGGGTTGGATTGAGATTTGGAAGAATCCAGAGTATCCATCCAAGAAGCAATAATGACTATGTGATGCTAGTCTTTCCAATATTTGATCAATGAAGGGGAATGGGAAGTGGTCTTTCCGAGTGGATTTATTCAATTTTCGATAATCAATGCACATCCTCCACCCGGTGAGCGACCTCGTAGAAGTGGTCTCACCCTTATCATTTTTTATGATGGTCATGCCTCCCTTTTTAGGAACAATTTGAACCGGGCTAACCCACTTACTATCGAAGATAGGGTAGATTATGCCCGCTTCAAGAAGTTTCAAAACATCTTTTTTCACCACTTCCTTCATGTTTGGATTGAGCCTTCTTTGGTGCTCAATCAAGGAAGCATGATCATCATCAAGTAGAATTTTATGCATGCATATGGTGGGACTTATCCCCTTAATGTCATCAATTTTGTACCCAATGACATCTCTATACTCCCTTAAAACAACTAGGAGTTTCTTAAGAGAGGTGTTATCGAGCTTAGAATTAAGAATAACGGAATAACTCTCACTATCTTCAAGAAAAGCATATTTAAGTAAAGGGGGAAGGGGTTTAAGTTCAACCTTAGGAGGAGGCGTAGTCCTCTCCTCTTTTGCTTCCACGTTAAGCACTTCAAATTTCATCACATCGTAGACCACAGGTTGGTTGAGTAAAAGATCATACCCCTTTGCTTCTCCACCCTCCTCAACTAAGCCTCCCATTAGGGTAGCTTGTAAAGGATCTCTTTCATACAATCTTTCTCGGAACTCTTCTAAGTCCCTCTCCAATGTGTCAATTGTATGAACCTCGTTAATCAATGGCTTTTTTATAGGTTGTGAGAATGAAAATGAAATTTTCTCATCTCCCACTTTTAAAGTCATTCTTCCTTCCTTCATATCAATCACCACTCCCGCGATGTTCAAAAATGGTTTACCTAAAATGAGGGGTACTCTTGTATCTTCTTCCATCTCCATTACCACAAAATCACATGGCACAAATACTCTTCCAACTTGAACCGGCACATCTTCAAGAATCCCCAAATGTAGAGTAACCGTGCGGTTGGCTAATTGTAAGGACATTCTTGTTGGTTTCAAGTCTCCAACTTTCAAGATCTTCGCAATAGAATAGGGCATCAAGCTCACACTTGCCCCAAGATCACACAAAGCATCCATAGCTTTCAAATCTCCAATATTCACCGGTATTGCATAGCCACCGGGGTCACCAAGCTTTTGGGGAAGCTTATTTTGAATGATTGCACTCACCTCCTTAGGAAGGGAGATGGTTGCACTCTCTTCAAGCCTACTCTTGTTGGATAGAAGATCCTTCAAAAAATTTGCATAGGTAAGCATTTGTGACATAGCATGAAGAAAGGGGATGTTCACTTGAAGTCCTCTCATGACTTCAAGAAATTTTGAAAACTTCTCATTCAACTTTGTCTCTACAATTCTGTGAGGAAATGGAATGGGTGGCTTATATATTCTCATGGGGGGGCTTTTCTATTCCTTCTTCATCTCCCTCATCTTTCTTTGTGGCTCCCTCATCACTCTTTTGTTGTTGTTTTCTCTCAACTTCAACTACTTCATTTTCAATATCATCCTCACTTCTCACCACAACTCCCTCATCTCTCTTTTGTGGCTCCTCTTCACTCATAACCGGATTTTCATAACCTCTTCCCGATCTCAAAGTAATAGCCTAAGCTTGCTCCTTTGGGTTCACTACCGTTGAGCTTGGAAAGTGACCACTAGGATTGGAGGATGAACTTCCAACTTGTTGTGCAATTTATGCCAATTGGCTCTCAATTATCTTATTGTGCGCTTGAAGTTGTTTGATGTTTGCATTCATATCCGTATTGCTCCTTATTTGTTGTGTTATGAAAGTTTCAAGAACAGATTCAAGGCTAGTCTTTTGAGGAGGTGGAGGAGGAAGAGTGGGTTGGTTATATTGTGATCTTTGTGTAGGGTTTTGTAGTGACCCCTCACTACGCGGAAAGAAACCCCCCAAGACCCGCCCCGATAACTAAAGCAATTAAACAAGCATAAACATAATTAAGCAATAATTAAAAGAAGAGAGAAAGAAATTATACCCTCGATGCGTGCTTCGCTCGCAAAGCGAGCTCTTGCTTTGAAAGCTCGAGCGTCACAAGTGTGACCGCCTCTGACGGTTTGTACCCACGAACCCGATCCGAACGGTCCAAGTCCCGAAGGTTAGTCGGGACCCGACCAATAAAAAATTGGAGTTTTACGAACTTAGAGGTTTTCTCACCTAATGGGAGATGCCTCATTGAGTTCTACTCAAGTGATTCCCATATGCCCAACACTTGGGTATTTATAAGGGAATGCTACTTGATTTCCCATTCTCCCACTGATGTGGGAGAATTTGCCTTTTAATCATAAAATGACAAGCAATAGATAATCAACAAGTGTCACATGGTGAGGAGAGGTTAGGTGAGGACCACATGGGGATCCATCACACCTTGCTCCCCAAGCCAAACCACTATCCCTTGGTCCCCACACAAAAACCGGACCACTTTGCCACTTGGCTGCCAAGGATGAGGTGCTGCCCACCCACTCCACGCACATGCGCAGCCAGCTAGCACAGGCTGCCAGCCAGCACATGCTGCTCCCTGGTACGTGCTGCTGGGCGAGTGGCGTGGCGCTACTTGCTGGCACACGCACATGCCCAGCACGCTGCTTCCTAGCTGCGAGGAGCTATGCAATGGGCGAGGCCTTGGGAGCTTGGTGCGTGCCATCGCCTAGCATGCATATCCCACAGCACAAGCACGCATAGCGAGCTGCAGTGCGTGTGTTATATGCTACCTGCTTGCGCTAGCCAGGCCCAACAACCACATGCGTGCTGTTGGCCTTGCGATGCATGCGGGCTGTGCTTGGCCATGCCTAGCATGTTGCGATGGCTGGTTCTTCTATGCTAGCAAGCACGCCCAGCCATGCTAGCACAGCCACAACACGCACACACGTAAGGCACGCATCTTACGATGCTTGAGCCATGCGATGTGCGTATGTTAGGCGATGCTAGGCACACATAAGATGGTGACTTCGCCTAGCCTAGTACGCGCATGGATAGGCCAATGCGAGGGTACGGCTAGGATCGTACTTGTTGCTTGTTGATTTTCCATCTCGTCAAATTCGAAATTTGACTCGACTTACGACGATCGGTCTCGACGCTCCAAGCTCGATATATCGTCAAATTCCAAATTTGATTCGTCGTCTCGGATCGGTTATTCGATTGGGTTCGACCCAAAGGGTTCAATCAAGATTAAGCTGTAATATTAATTGTACATTAATATTACTGATCGGAAGCGGCCTCCACCTTGACATTCCGATCACTTGACCTTACTGAAGAATTAGCTTTCCGATAATTCTGAACCCTCTATCGGAAAAATACACTTGTTGGAAGGACACCATTCATTTCAATCTCCCACTTGTCCTTCCGGACAAGTGTGCATATAGTGTATAGCCCATTTCCTATGTCGCTTAATATCTCTTTGTGAACTATAAGGTAAGATTCATCGTCATCCTTGTTACGTTCAGAAGTGTTTCTTGATCTCCGAGTTCGACAGTTAATAAGCAGATGATTTCTAAAATCTATCTGAGCACGGCCATGCATTTTCACAGTCTCGCTCTTCGAGCGGCCTTGTAAACAACAAAGACATATTCCCTATTGTTAGTAGGGGAAGATTCCTAGTGTTGTATTGTAAGCTTTCTTACTAAGAGGACCTAGTCACCCGATTGTTGCCATTATGATCCCCAGTTACGGCAGACGTTGGACAACATCAAAGAGACTAGTACTCAAACAAGAGAACTTCACAATACTCATGGTCGAGGAAAGAGGTTCCGATAGTCATAATGAGAATTGTGCTTATGACGATTTTAAATCTCTTAAAGTACTCTCATAGGTCGATCCGGTGCAGTTCCAAACTAGCATCTGTGCAAATGATTTATGACTTCTATGTCCTTGCAGCACAATAAACGCTGCTGTAAATCATACTACACACTAATCTCCAGTGGTCATTAATCGTCCATCGGTTAAATGACCTCGATTAGGGACAATTTTCGATTTAAATATTCAATGTTCACTTAACAGGTGTTTCTTTATCCAAGACATGGTCTTGATACCCTGTTTTGAATATTTTCACAAATAGAATGGACTCATTATTTGATTCCAAACCATAATAAAATAGTTTCTGGAATTTTATTAGTGAAATTTTATTCCACTATGAAACTATTCAACGTTTCATCTTATGATAAATGGCTTTCTTCAAATGTTTCAAGAGTAATACTCTTCCTTAAACATTTATAGAAATCACACCCATACTTAATGTGCTTGATTTCTTTTATGCAATTGCGAATGTTGTCGTTCACTTATTGCATAGGTTTAGCCACTATTACTTTGCAAATCTTAGCATCTTCATTATCGAATAATAAGACAATAAGATTTTGAGAGTGTTATGGATCATATGTGATTTAGGATTTATTGTCCAAGTGATGGCTCCCACTCATTTTCATGACTTGAGATCTTTCAACTTGACAACCTACAATCAACATTCGTCAACGAACTTTCCATTGAACACTTTCTTATTATTGCCTTCCAGGCAACAATATTCTCAACGTATATTCCAGTAGACATTCTGATGTTGCTTTGCTCGGATTTTATTCCGAACGACTCACAATGATTTGGGAGACCCTAATCACTTGTGATTATGGAAATTTACTTTAAATTTCCGCACATTATACTTGGATTCTCGTCCATGTTACCATTCTCAAGCCACGACGCATTCTATCTCGTGTTTATAAACGGCTTCCTTATTAAGGATCTAATCCTTGCTAAGTATGTGCTTGCAACATCAATTCTCAAATTACAATTGTTTATGTGCGTCAAAAACTCATCCCCTTTTACTTATCAAAGTAGTTTGGATTTTCTTGACCATAATCTAATGATTCATCACTTAGATTTGGATTGATTGGTATTTCATACTTCTCATGCTCTAAGCATGTAAGTTGAGTGACGACTCCATATCATAGCATACATGATGGTTTTAATTGCAGAATTATTCCCAATGTTATTCCATCCATGTAACTTTTAGCTCATCCAGTTTCATCGAGTCTTGCTAAATCGTTTGCTATGTGACATGGTTGAAAGTCTTTACCAGAGTCTATCTTTTTTGACTTAGTTCAAACATTTACTTAGCTTTATACATATGGGTCGAAAGACTTTTCAAGTCCTTCAAGTTTAACACGGTAAATTCCTCTACTCGTATAAACATTTCATTAAGTCTATCCAATAGATCTTAATTCCCATTATGTACTAAGTGTCGCCTTTTTGCTTGATCCATTGTCGAAAATCCTTTCAAATCTAAGCATTTAGAATTTGATAGTCATTTCACAATAGAGTTCACAAACTTCTTGTTTAGACCATACAAGATTGACTTTTGCTCCCACTAAACTTCTTGTTTATAAGAATTTCTATGATTCTCCATTAGCCAAACCTTTTATTGGCTTTATGAGAATACATATTCCAATTCCTTCATGCAATGCTTCATTTAATCCCACAATGGATTTCTTGAGCTTGCTTTCAAATCTAGCATTATTTAGAATTACAAAACCCTTAGACTATTTCCATAGTCTCTCCCAAAATCCAATTTTAGGAAGGCGGTTTCGTCTTTAGCCATATTTCATATGCGCAATTTTGCTAGAACAATCATGAAAATACTTTAGCGTTCCGATTGGTGAATAGGTTATTATTAAAATCAACACCGTAAATGAATTGTATCCTTTTCAACCAATCTAGCTTTGTATGCTTATGCATTTCCACATTTGTTAGTTTTCATCTTGAAAACTTATTTGCGATTGATGGGTATGTCACCCTTCACGCAAATGAATCAAGTTCCAAACATGATTTGCAAACATGGAGTCTATTTCGGATTTTATGGCTTCTAACCATTATTCGGAATTTGGATTTGTCGTAGCTAATTTACAAGACATTATTCCCTCACCATCCAATGACGAATGGTATGCTTGTAAGTCTTAGGTTTATTTCTAACTTAATAGAAATTTATAGGATTCAATCCAAGCCTTTGGTGAAATCTATACCTATACGGGGTAATAGGTTGAGCATTTACATTGTCTGTTTGATTCTGACCAATCTTATCAACTGCTTCTAAAGCATTTTGATTGTCAGTTTTATCAGGTTGACACTGTTGCACGTCCTCTCGAACTTCGTCGAGTTCGATTTTGAGCATTTACATTGTCTGTTTGATTCTGACCAATCTTATCAACTGCTTCTAAAACATTTTGATTGTCAGTTTTGTCAAGTTGACATTGTTGCTCGTCCTTTCGAACTTCGTCCGAGTTCGATTTTCCTCCCACTTGTCATTTTGGAAAGGTGTTACTTTCCAGAAAGACACCATTTAGAGCAACAAATACTATGTCCTCAATTAGGTTATGGAGGTTTTTTAATGTCCGTAGTC